AGAGAGAGAGAGAGAGAGAGAGAGAGAGAGAGAGAGAGAGAGAGAGATTGGTAAAAATCAGGGGTCTAGAGATGGCTCAGCGGTTAAGAGCACTGTCTGCTCAGCAACCACATGGTGGCTCATGACCATCTGTAATGGGACCCGATGCCCTCTTCTGGTGTGGCTGAAGACAGCTACAGTGTACTTAGATACGTAAAATAGATAATTCTTTTTTTAAGAAGAGAGATGATCGCTCTTTTACTGTTACTACATCCCCCTAATGCCCAGCTATCCAGAAGGAGACAGTTTATTAGGAAAATGAAGACGGCTAGTGAGCTTCAAAGACACTCAAAAGCCGCTGCGTTATCTTTACCACCGCCTTTTGTGGGTAGTTTTTCTGTAATTTATGTTATTTAGCAATGAATTGTACGTATGTGTGTGTTAGTGCACGTATTGAGTGTACGTAGATTTGCACAGGTGCCTAAGCAAGCTAGAGGCACGGCAACCCACGGACCCAGAGTTACAAGTGATGTGAAGCCAACTGCCCTGGCTGCAGGGAACTGAGTGCAGTCCTCTGGAAGAGCAGAGAGCGCTTTTAACTGCTGAGCCATTCCTCCAGCCCCTAAATAACTTACTTATCTTTAACTTACTGTAATAAGTCACCTTAAGAGCTTGAAACAGTCACCAAAAACAATTAGGAAAGGTGACTCCTGCTGAAAGATTTTCTTCCCTCCCCCACATAGACTCACTGAGCATACACGTTAACTTGGTAGGAGAGAAAGTGAAAAGAAAACCAATCCACAGGTCAGCCTGTCTTCCCCCACTTTTCTTTCCTTAGAAACACTTGCTTTCTCTGGCTCTCCTCCCGAAATGAGGGTGTTACACCAGTTTATGTCTGAGTGTAAAAGTTAAGTCTACCTTGATTTTCTGGTTCTTATTGTCCTCTCTTTCTGAACCCAAGGGAGCAAACGTTCTCCCACCAAAGACCGGAGAAGGAAGATCACTGACACAAACCATCATGGCCAAATTAATTTAATCAAGCTTGTTTTACTCATGTACATGGGCTGGCCAGTTCCTGGTGTACCTCTAAATGAAGCTTGCTGTAATCCGGCAGTCTTGGAATTGGTTTTTTCCCCTTTAGGTCTAACACAGGCACCCTGGATCGAATTTGCCGGCGTCTTTGGAATTGGACAGTACAAACTCCAAGTTAAGAAGCATGGGCCTTGCTCCGCCAGTGAACTGCAAGAGCAAGCTTACTTCTTCAGGTAAAGAAAAAGGTTAATTGTGCTGTGAATAAAGCAGGTCTTCAGAGAACCCGGCGATGGTGGTGAGAAAACAGGTCCTGGTGAAGTACAAAGAGAAGGCAGACAGTTGCCAGACAGAGGAGGGAGAGGAGCCCGGGCAGGAGAAAAAGGGAATTTGTTAAATAAAGAAGTCAGCTGGGGTCCTGCAACAGCTTGGGACTCAGGAATCAGTTGACTAAGGTATTTGAATAGATCCCTTGGTGGGAGCCTGAAGCCAGAAGCCTAGGAGCGCTGCAGCTGGGGAGGCCCCTTGAGCTACCCTCACTCCTGGGTGATTTGGTGTACTCTTTTTTTCACCATGATAACAGGTAAAATCAAAGATTCTCACACCAAGGACTGAGAGTGTAGTTCAGTAGTAGAGCACTTACCCAGGGGTTTAAGAGTCCCTGGATTTGATCTCCGCAAACACACACACACACACACACACACTTTAGAATCCTATCAGTAAAACCCATAAGACCTGATGCAAAGTGGTCTGTGTGTAAGGCTAGTTAGGGTTTGTGGAGGTGGCCATGACCCACCTCTGACACACCAGCCATCTCCACTGATGCCAACGGCCCCAGGAACTAAGGACAGAAAGTAGAAGATGAGAATTCTAGATAGAATTAGTTTGGGCTTTCCAAAGGAATGTGTCCTAGCCTTTGTGATAGTGTACTGTCTGTGACACAACGAGGGACAATTTTTCTGACTGCCAAAATGGCCCTCTCCTTAGCTCAGCAGCAGCTACAGAACCTACTTGGGCTGGAATGGGTACCCCTGTGAGTGGTCACGAGTTACTGATGTGATTGACAGGTATGGCTACTTACTCATGGAAGCTACTAGGTGTCACTTGCTTCTTCCGTGTTTTTCCTGTATTATGCTTTAGCTAAATCTAATAAAACTGACCAACAGCTACTATAACATCTATAACTAAAGCATTAGGAGTTATGTTAACTTAATTTCCTTACCAGAACATTTACACACAGCTACACCGGATGAATATGAATATATCTTTTGTCTTCTCAGCAAATGTAAATCTTCTCCAATTCACTCTTAAACCCCAAACTCACTTCTGAACCCACACATCCTCTCAGCCTCCTGTGATAACACTTGACATCTCCCTCCACCAAGTAGGTTGGGGGTTAAACTCAGGGAAGAGCCTCTATTTGGAACCAGGGAAGTCCCAGATTAATCTCCAGTGTGACACAAAAACAAGAGACTGTGGTTCCTCCTCTTTTCCCAGAAGCAGTAGGTGTGACCTCAGGGGCTCTCTCCACAAGTTCTATTTCACAGGAATAAAAACCATTCACCCGGCTCATCAGTTCAATATTTGTTCTTCCAGAGAACTAGAGCTTGTTTCTCAGCTGCTTCGTGTCAGGTGGCTTCGTGTAACCCGATCTCCAGGGGATCTAATGCTTCTGGCCTCCTCAGGGCATATACCCATACTAAAACGTTTTTTAAAACATTCATTTCGTCTTGAAAAACCAAAATAAATAAATAAAACTAAAACATTCGTTTATCATTGCTATCCAGTTCTTGACTGTGGATGCTGTGTGACCAGATGACCTCCTGCTCTGGTTACCACATCATTCCCACTGTTGTGGTATAACCTTCCAAACTGTAAGCCAAAAGAAACCCATTTCCCCTTATTAGACCCTTTTTCTCTGCATTAGACCCTCCCCCTCACATACCAAAAAAGTATATTGACCCCACTGGACAAAAGGTAAGACTACTAAAGGTAAAATTAGTGTTTTATTTAAATTTAAACTAGTCCAGCCTACACTGGTTTATTATGGTATAGTTAAATATAAACACCTTTCTACAGATATTAACGTAGAAGTTTCTCTTGATGGCACTCCAGATATGGAGGAAATCCGTAGAAGTTTCTCTTGATGGCACTCCAGATATGGAGGAAATCCGTAGAAGTTTCTCTTGATGGAATTCCAGATATGGAGGAAATCCAAGCACCTTCACAGGTGAAATCTTTAATCTTTTATTTTGTTGAGATGCTGTCTTACTATTTAAACATAGTCTTGAACTTATTGTATATCTGAGCTACCGTCAAACTGGTGATCCTTCATCTCATCCTTGAGAGTAACTACCATATCTTTATACTTTGTATATACTTTGTATGTATCTCACCCCTCAAAATGACACACAGTGTACATGGACACCAAGACCCAAGCTTCTAAAAAAAAGACTAGCGTGGGTTGGTGTGGGTGAGGGTGGACGAGTACGCAGGTGAGGAGAGGGTATAGTTCACTGTCTCCAAAGCCCATAGTTAACACTACAAAAGACAAGTTCAGAATTAAGACAAATGCACCAACACACAGTTGTAAATAGAGCTCAGTGCTTGAGTCGGTGCCCAGTTCAAAGTCCTAGGTTTGTTTTGCTCTCTGGCACCAAAAGAATAAGAATAAAAACAATATGCCAGGTGGTGGTGGGATGCTACCTTTAGTCACAGCATTCAGGAGGCAAAGGTAGACAGAACTCTTGAGTTCAAGGCTGGCCTGGTCTACAGAGATAGTAGTTCCAGGACAACCAGAGCTAGAGAAAAAACCTGTCTTGATTAAAAAAAACAAAAACGAAAACAAAAAAAACGAAAACAAAAAAAACACAAATAATAATAAAAAAAATCTAAAAATCTTTGGAAAATCTTTAATCCCATCACTCAAGAGGAAAAGGTAGGCAGATCTCTGAGTTTGAGGCCAGCCTGGTCCACTAAGATAGTAGTTCCAGGACAACCAGAGCTACAGAGAAACCTGGTCTTGATAAACAACAAAAACAGAAGGCAAAAACAAACAAAAAACAAATAATTAAAAAAAAAAAACAATATGAATATCTTTGGGCCCGGCAGTGGTGGCGCAGCCTTTAATCCCAGCACTTGGGAGGCAGAAGCAGGCGGATTTCTGAGTTCGAGGCCAGCCTGGTCTACAGAGTGAGTTCTAGGACAGCCAGGACTATACAGAGAAACCCTGTCTCCAAAAAAAAAAAAAAAAAAAAAACCTGGCCCTGCCCTGACTTTAAGCCCAGTTGTTGTGTAAGCTTCATATTTCTCCTGGTGGATTCTCAGAGTAGTTCAGGAATAATTCCAAGGCTTGCGAGGTGCTTAAATGTGCATTTTCCCTAGTGCCTTCCAAATTTGCCTCCAAATCACTGGCAGAGAAGTTTTGCTGCAACTGTACATAAGGCTGCAGAGAGTCCTCCCCAAAGTTATGGAGCGGAGCAGCATTCCAAGTCTGGCTGCTCCAGGCTTGAGTACACCATGACTGGGTGGTCCAGGCCTGATTGCTCCAAGTTGGGTTGGTCCAGGCCTGATTGCTCGAAGTTGGGTTGGTCCAGGTCTGGCTGTCCCACACTGGAAGGCTTCCAGATGGGTTCACCAGATAGCCCTGGGGACAGCTGCAACGGATGCTGGGATATGCCACTGGTGCTGAGCCCATCTGAAAGAGGTGATTAACACAATGAGTGAAAAGGGAAATCTAAAGTCGTAAGCTGCAGAAATATGAAAAGATTAGCATGGTGGCACAGGCCATTAATCCCAATACTCCTGAAACTAGGCAGGCAGATCTCTGACTGCCAGGGCCACATAGAGAGACCCTGCCTCAAAGAACAGAAGATCACAAGGAGTACACAAGGGAAGCAGACTGGGAAGAAGACAGGACTGATAAGGCACAGATGGACCACGATGGGACTGAGAAGCAGTCAGAGCCACTGACTGATCTTACAGGAAATGTGGGATCCATACCAACAGCTATGGGTCAGCCACACACATGGTGCAGACACACATAAAAGATAGAGGGGAGGAAAAGGAAAGCATAGAAAGTGTCTGTTACCTGAGTCAGACCGTTGCTAGTCTTCAACCATTGGTTATTCTGCCAACGCTTGCACTTCATCCTTTGGTTTTGGAACCAGGTCTTAACCTTCAGAGTGACAGGACATTTGAACAAGCTAAGACATACAGAACACAGACAGGAGCTCTGGCTGCTCCTCCAGAGGGTCCAGGTTCATTCAAGTCCCGGCACCTACATGGTAGTCCTTAACCATTTGTAACTCTAGTCCCAGGAGGCCTGATGCCCTCTTCTGGCCTGCCTGGAATACTGCACACACATGATACCCAGCCGTACACGCAGGCAAAAAGCCCAGCTTCATAAATGTTTAAAAAATATTATTTATGCCGTGCGGTGGTGGCGCACACCTTTAATCCCAGCACTTGGGAGGCAGAGGCAGGCGGATTTCTGAATTCTAGGCCAGCCTGGTCTACAAAGTGAGTTCCAGGACAGCCAGGGCTACACAGAGAAACCCTGTCTCAAAAAACCAAAATAAATAAAAATAAATAAAAAATATTATTTATTAGAAATGGAGGGGGCATATGGAGAGAGATAAGAGGACAAATTTCTAGCTAGTTTGGGGCTGTTGGGGATGGGGGGAGAGTATCACTAGGGATTGATCCCAAGGGCCTTGTATATACTACTTACAGGTAAGGCACATACAAGCCCCATTTCTGTTTGTTTTGCTGAGTTCCAAGCTGGCCTGGACTGCTAATCTTCCTGTCTCTGTCTCAGGTGCTAAGAGTTTAGCTATGTACCATCAAGCACAGTACACCACCTTTTAATGCAGATCTTTTTTTTTTTTTTAGGTTTTTCGAGACAGGGTTGGTCTCAACCCTGACAGGTGGGTGCTGAGAATTGAATCTAGGTCCTCTGGGAGAGCAACCAGTGCTCTTAACAGATAAGCCATCTCCCCAGCACCTGCTTTTGGCTTTTTTCAAGAAAGAGTTTCACTTTATAGACCTGGCTGTCCTGGAGATCACACTGTAGACTTGACTGATCTTAAACTCAGGTCTGCCTGCCTGGGCCTCCCAAGTGCTGGGATAAAAGCCTGTACCACCACATAGGCCTCTGGCTGTCTATCTTTAATAGTAAAATTCTGTATCAAGCCGGGCAGTGGTGGCGCACGCCTTTAGTCCCAGCACTTGGGAGGCAGAGACAGGCAAATTTCTGAGTTCGAGGCCAGCCTGGTCTACAGAGTGAGTTCCAGGACAGCCAGGGCTACACAGAGAAACCCTGTCTCGAAAAACCAAAAGAAAGAAAGAAAGAAAGAAAGAAAGAAAGAAAGAAAGAAAAAAAGAAAAAAGCCAGGCACAACTTTATTCCCAGCACTCAGGAGACAGAAGTAGGTGGACCTCTTGAGTTTGAGGCCAGCCTGGTCTACAGAGACCCTGATTTGGAGATAGGAGTGAGAGGTGAAGTAGCAGATAAAGTAACTGAAGAAATAAAGTGGGCAATATATAAATCACATAATTATGATTTTAACAGGAGAATAAGATAGGCCTTAGAGAGGCATCCAGATGTTAGCTGTTTATTAACAAATCAGTCTCATTTTGTTACATTACAGCAGCAACGAAACAACCCTACCTGCTTATAGCTAAGGTTCAGAATGGTAGAGAGTTCTTGCATCTGCTGGAGGCTGAGGTATCTCTGTCTCTGAAACCTGTCCTTGAGTACACACAACTGGGCCTGAGAGAACACAGTCCGCATCTTCTGCTTCCTGGGGGGGACCTTGTTCTCCTCTTCAGGGCCCTCGTCAGCCTCAGGACTAGACAGCTTTAGTTCAGGATTGATGGAAGAATCAGGGCTCTCTTGAAGAGGTATATCCACAGAGGAAGGGTGAGGAGAGACTATTAGGAATAGAACAGATAACTTGTTAAGAAATAAGACATTCTCAGCCCGACATGGTCGTACATGCCTTTAGTCCCAGTACTTAGGAGGCTCAGGCAGGCAGATTACTGGGTTTAAGGCCAGTTTGTTCTACAGAGTGGATTCCAGGATGGCCAGAGCTATACAGAGAAACCCTGCCTCAAAAAAACCCAACCCAACCAACCAAATAAACCATTTTCCCAGATACTTAAATATTACGTTTAATATATTTACTTTCAAAGCAGTTATCTTCATAGCCGTAGGTCTAAAAAACAAGAAAACCTAATTCTTTTATTATAATCAACCCAGAATACTTTGTCACCCTTGTGTAACACCATTGGTACCATTTTGCACAGATCTCCCCCTTTCTCTCTCTCTCTTTTTTTTTTCTCTTTTAAGATTTGTTTATTTCATGTATGTGAGTACACTGTCACTGTCTTCAGATACACCAGAAGAGGGCATCAGATCCCATTACAGATGGTTGTGCGCCACCATGTGGTTGTTGGGAACTGAACTCGGGAGCTCTGGAAGAGTAATCAGTGCTCTTAACTGCTGAGCTATCTCTCCAGCCCATACATCTCCCTTTTACATACGTGTTTTAAGTTTTGTTATTTATTTAACTTATACAGTTAGACCCTGGGAATCCTATTAAAAAAAAAAAAAAGACAACTAACCAAAAAAAAAAAATACTCAGTTAAGTGGCAGGATGGAGAGAAAGGATGAAGTGGCAGTCTGATCCCTTCGCCCAGCTCCTTCTTGAGTAGAACAGTGACACTACACTGTAAACTGCTGATCATGACAGGAGTGGGCACAAATCAGAACCAGCCCGCTTCAAGTAGATATAGGCAGGCAGACAGACAGACAGTGCAAAAGTGCTTGGGCTGTAGAGGGCCTAGCCTATTTATGTTTGTGGTTTTTCTTTTCTTTCTGAGGGAATAGGGTCTCAGGTAGCAAAGGCTGGCCTGCCCTCTGGGTCTTACCTCTCCTCTCTCCCTGCTGAGTGCAGGTTTACCCCAGGACCCAGGTTTTGGGGACTTTTATCTCCCTTAGTTTTTTTTGCATGGTGCTGAGAGAATCGAACCCTGTTGGGACATTTCATTTCATACTCTACCAGTGAGTTAGTCATGCCCCAGTCATAATATATATATGTGTGTGTGTGTAAACTAACATTTAGAGATGAACTAACTAATATCTATGAATGAAAATATCTGCCGGGCAGTGGTGGTGCACGCCTTTAATCCCAGCGCTTGGGAGGCAGAGGCAGGTAAGATTTCTGAGTTCGAGGCTAGCCTGGTCTACAGAATGAGTTCCAGGGCAGCCAGGGCTACACAGAGAAACCCTGTCTCGAAAAAACCTTAAAAAAAAAAGAAAAGAGCCGGGCGGTGGTGGCGCACGCCTTTAATCCCAGCACTCGGGAGGCAGAGGCAGGCGGATTTCTGAGTTCGAGGCCAGCCTGGTCTACAGAGTGAGTTCCAGGACAGCCCGGGCTATACAGAGAAACCCTGTCTCGAAAAAAAAAAAAGAAGAAAAAAAAAAAAACAAAAGAAAAGAAAAAGAAAAAAATCATGAAATCTATAGCACTTCATGAATGTTATCTAAGGAAATTTCCAGGGTTAGATAGATCTTTTGTTAGCAATGGACAGCCCTGAGTTTAGATTCCCCCTGCCCCATGTTTTTTTTAAAGGTATATTTCAAAATGGTCCCACGGTCTTTTCTGCTAGTATAAGAGCAACCAGTCAGAGGGTCAGTTAAATTATTATTACTAGAGTAAAATTCCAGTTAACCAAATTTGTTTGTCTTATTCTTGACCCTCTAGCTCTACAGCTGTTTGTTTTGGGTTTGTTTGTTTTTTTTTTCCCCAGAAGACAAAGTCTTCCAAATCTCCTGCCTCAGTGCTAGATTTATGTGTGCCTCATTTTGTTCTTCGGAGAGGCCAAGGGTTTCAATTGAACCAAGAGCCTCGAGCAAGAGACAAGTGCTCTACCACCAAGCTTTGCCCCAACATTTCCTAGATTCAGCAGCGGCTGGAAGACATCTCCTGCACAGAAGTCTTCAGGACGCTCCACGCTGATGGCAACACTGATGTTAGCCTGTATGTAGTCTGGCAATAAGCAGACAGCCCTTAAAGCAACTACTAAATGAAAAGTTATGCCCCCTCCTGGCACTAGGGGCAAGCACTAAAAATACACATCTGCACTTGACTTGTACTGCACACAGCCGAGCACTGCAGCGTACACACCCGAGCAACACAGCACACACTCTCTGGCGCTACACACAACCAGAACACCAATACACATACAAACGAGCAGCCACTTGGTTCTACCATTTACAAGTCTGAATACTGGGCTGACTCTGTACAAACAAAATTGAGTTTCAGACCTTAACTCCAGCAGCTAGCTATAAGGAACTACCTTTAAGGTGCACTCGGTTGGGGTTTAGGAGGCGTGCTCAAGCTCACAAACCCAGAACTGCTAAGTGACACCTACATTCCCAAAGGCTGAGAGAAAAGCCAACTGCTTCTGCTGGAGAAAAAGACCATTTGGTTAAATTGCAAACTTAACTGTATAACCTCACCAAAAATGGGCTGAGGACACCACTTACTACCCCTCCACTTTTAACTACTGTAACATATTCCAAAGAGCCCAAATATTTAGGTTCTCAAATACACACAAACCGCTCCATTCTATGTTCCTGGTGTCTATTTCTTGTCGAGACTTGGCTGATGTGTCACCAGTCAAACTCAGAGGGGTATCCAGAAGACCGATAATGTCACCTGCTTATGTTGGTGACCCTTCATCCTGTTTTTCCTACTCTTACCCTAATTAATTTGGTTCTTGAGGGACTGAATTCCTTACCAGTCTCTTCGCGGAGCTTCTCAGTAGCAGACATTTGTAAGCAAGAACAGTTTTCCTCAGGATGAAGAACCGCAGACGCTGCCTCCAAGGAGTCCCCAGAACTCGATGCTTCCTTGAAACTGTCGAGACTAGAAAGACTTACCCTCATGTTAGTGTGATGGCGAGGGAAGGAAGGGACTTTTTAAAAAGTTTTAGAACAACAAAAAAGTTAAGACGTTAAAACTCAGTGTCAAGAGGGAGAAAGATCTTAGAAATAAGAGTTAAATCAACAAGCCAGAATGAAGCGAGCCTGTCTTCCCGAAAAAGAGCAAGACGCCAAATCAGCCTCTCTGAAGGCCAACAGCTCAAGGCGATAGATTTAAAGGGTAGGTCCCAGCGCCCTGGCTTACTCCTCCCCCTCAAGCCTCCTACCCCTACCCACCCCCTATCCTGCCCCCTCCACCCTGTAGACACCCACGCCCCACCAGCCCTGTGAATTCACAACTAATCCCACCTGCAAGGCCCACCAAGGACATTATAATGCAAAAGAAGCTGTAAAGTGACCCAGTCTGAGATTCGGGGGGCGGGGGAGCGTGGGGGCATCCGATCTAAAAACCAAAAAAAAAAAAAAAAACCCTGGCGATCTCAGGCAAGGCAGGTTCCTCTTCCATTCTTTCCTACAAACGTAAAATAGCCAGACCTTGTTGCCAACGTCTCTGTTTAAACATGGCTTTCTTTCAGCACTCACCTTTTCTTGTTTGCTTTTCACTTTGGGAAACAAGGGGAAATCTTCCTACCAAAAATGCTGCTTTTTAACAAAAGTCTGAAGGAAGAGCCTATGACCTGCTTAAGACTCTTGGGCTACCTTACTAAGTAGGTCTGTCCCTTTAACACGTCAAAGTTGGCTCAGGTTTTGGTTTGGTTTTGAGCCATGGTTTCTTTATGTTGCCTTGAGTGGGCTGAACTCAGGATGTAGACTAGGCTTGCCTATCACCAAGCCTAGTTTAAGGAGTGTTTAAATTAATGTAGAGTCCTTCTGTTCTGTTTTGTTTTGAAACAAGTTCTTACTGTAACCTAGGCTGGCTTTGGACTTACTGCAGTCCTCCGGCCTCAGCCACCTAAGCAATGGAATAAGAAATTTATTGTATTTCAAATTTGGTTTTGGTAGTTTCTTTGAAATAGAGTGTCATGTAGCCCAGGCTGACCTCAGAGTATATTGCTGAAGCTGGCCCCAAACTCCTGATATCCCTGCTTCCACCTCCCAAGTTCAAGGTTTGCTGATCAGTCCTCCTGCTCACAGATAAGTGAGTGAAATAATTCTAACCTAGCTTAAGTCTGTTTCAGTGTATGAACAGAGAGGAAGTGCTACCCTGCATAACATCCCACTTGCGGCCAGGCAGTGGTGGTGCACACCTTTAATCCCAGCACTTGGGAGGCAGAGACAGGCGGATTTCTGAGTTCGAGGCCAGCCTGGTCTACAGAGTGAGTTCCAGGACAGCCCGGGCTATAAAGAGAAACACTGTCTAGAAAACAACAAAAAACAAAACAAAACAAAAAATTTCCCTTGCAAAGATTTGGCCACAGTGAGTATTGGCAAAGTGGTTCTTCCTGGGTTTTGTACTACAAAAGACCAGGTTTGAATGGCCCTTTTCGGTTTTGGATTTGTTTGTTTGTTGTTCTGGACCGAGTCTCAGTATGTAGCTTCAGTAGTACTGGAATTTGCTCTGTAGACCAAGCTGGCCTCCAACTCACAGACATCCACCTGCCTCTGTCTCAAAGGCCTGTATGTGCTGCCACTGACGCCATAGCCACCACTGACGCCACAGTCACCAGTGCCACCAGAGTCACCACTGCTCCACACCACCACTGCCACCACTGCCGCCATTGCTACCATTGCCACCACTGCCAACATTGTTACCATTGCCACCATGCCACCACTGCTGCCACTGCCACCACTGCCGTCATTACCACCACTGCCGCCATTGTCACTATGGCCTTACGGGGATCAAAGGTGTAGCACTTTTACTGTGGTTTGGAATCTTGTCAATTGTATCTGTTATTATATATGTTTAATCCATGGGGGCGGATTATGAAGTGCTGACCTGCTACAGTGTGCCTAAGGGAGGCAGAGGACCACGTTTGGAACTTGGTTCTCTCGGCACTGCAGGGTCAACCCTTGTGCTTATACAAGTGTTTTTTACCTGCTGAGCACTCTGCCAATCACACCTCGGGAGAGGCAAGGGGATCACGGAGAGTTGAAAGCCAGCCTGATCTTCAGACTGCCTAAAGAAACAGAAACAAAACCAAACCAAACAAACAAAAATGCAAGCCTAAAATCTAAAATACTGGCCTTATCACGAACATATCGAAGAACAATAGACATTCTGTATTCCGTGACGGCTCTTCTTTGACTCCTCGTTTCTAAACCCAACATTCGAGGACTCTGAGGTCCTTTTCCAGCCACACTAAGGAAAAAAAATGATTAATAATCTCAGCTACGTATTTTTGCAGCTTTGAAATAACCATGTAGCCTCTCCCTCCCTCCTTCTCTCTCTCTCCCCCTCTCCCTCTCCTCTTTTTACAAGGGTGGGGGCGGGGGGCTACGTAGCCCAGCAACCTCGCTTCTCTGGACCGTAGGGGTCCTCTCCTTCAGCTGCCCGCTCTGCGCCTACAAAAACTTACTTCTGTTTATAATGCAAAAAAAGTTGTCTCCAGGGAACCCTAGGCGTGTCCCAAGGGCGATAAAATGTAGGCAAAGCACACCTTTGTCTTCTTCAAACCTTCCTCCGGGAGAGGAACTGTAAGAGAAGGGCAGGGAAGGAGTCCTGAGAACTGGATGATTCTAGCTCAAACCCGGTTCTCATTTCAAATTAAAAGCAAAATGCTCTAGAACGTGAAACTTTTGAACCCTGCCTCTGGGTTCCAGGAGTCAAGGCCACCACATCCTCGAGTTTACCCCAAATTCTGCACAGATTTGGTACAGGGCGCACGGCTCCCTGTCGAAGGAGTCTGCTTTGGAGACTGCGATGAATTCCTCTTCAACCCCATTCCTGTCCTGCCTCTTAGTGTCCTTGGTGAGTCTCCGGGGTAAAAGATGCAAGCGAAGAGGAAGCCGGTGGCCAAAATGCAGGCTTGCTACATTCCTTAGCCAGGAATTTGAATGGGTGGAGAAAGTATTGAAGCCTTAGATCTGGTTGGAACTAACTGTATGGGTGGAGAAAGGATATGTTAAATGGGCCCGCGGCGTGGTAACGTGCTTCAAAACAAAAGAGATGAACATAGCTAAGGTTAGTACTGAAAAGAAGCCGGGACTAGCGAAGGTGGGGGAGGGGAGTGAATCGCAAGCCTTGGAGTCCTCCTGGCGAGCCAAGCAGCAGAGAAATGCTGGAGGACAAACTTGGGAAGGAAATTCCAGCAAGTTAACAATGTGAGAGAACTACAGACCCCAACACTTTTGAATTTTTGTTTGTTTGTTTGTTTGTTTTTGAGACAAAGTTTCTCTACGCCCTGGCTGTCCTGGAACTCACTTTGTAGACCAGGCTGGCCTCGAACTCCTGGAGATCCTCCTGCCTCTGCCTCTGGAGTGCTGGGATTAAAGGCTTTGTGCCACTTTGCCCGACTACACTTCTGTTTTTAAACATTTAGAAAAGCTTATCATGAACCTTGGAGTGTAGTTCAGTAGGTACAGTACTCGCTTTGCATGAATAAAGACCTGGGTTCGACCCTCAGAGCTACATAAAACAGTACTAAGTCTGAAATCCCAGCACTCAGGAGACAAGGCAATCGAGTCTCCATTGAGAGCTCAGCCAGCAAAGCCTTTTGAACTTTACTCCTCAGAGGCCATATCTCTCTCTCAGGGTAGAAGGAAATTTATTTCCACAAGTTGTTCTCTGTGTGCATCCACACACAGCCAAACTATAGAATAAATAGATTTTTTTCAATAAAAGGTCTACCCAGAGTATATTGCTTCTTTCCATCTTCTAAATGTTTCCCTCTTGCATTCACTGTTAGGTAAACTTGATTTCAGTCTTGTTTTTAGGACAGAATCGTTCTGTATAACTCAGGCTAGCCTGGAATTTAGGGTTATCCAACATCTTAAAGACTCTATTGTATCTGGTCTTTACTTCTTATACTGCTAATACTGTATCTTTTAATCATTTCTCTATTATCTGTCTTTGTATATGTATACATCTATCTATCTATCTATCTATCTATCTATCTATCATCTATCCATTCTTTTTTTTTTTTTCGAGACAGGGTTTCTCTGTATAGTCCTGGCTGTCCTGGAACTCACTCTGTAGACCAGGCTGGCCTCGAACTCAGAAATCCGCCTGCCTCTGCCTCCCGAGTGCTGGGATTAAAGGCGTGCGCCACCACTGCCGGGCTCCATCCATCCATTCTTTATCTGCTCATTCATCCTCCCTGACATCAGAATATCAGTTCAGTGGTGGCAATCTTGCTTTTGCCTGTTTTGTCTACTGTAATAACCCTAGACTAGGCTCTACACCAGCAACATCAGTCTCAGGAGCAGCTTCTGTATTAGGAAGAGAATCAGTGAGCTTCTGCTTCTACCCCTCACTGGTGGTAGGGACCACGAATCTGTATTTCATATCTTTCTTAAAGCAGGATGCAGTGGCTCAGACCTGTAATCTTAGCCCTTGAAAAAGAATTACCAGCTGGGATATGTAGAGAGAGACTCAGTTTTAACAAAACAAGTTTTCCTTGATAGACTTCTGGTTACCATGAGAAGGCCCTTGGTTCAATCCTTATGCTGAACACACATGCACACACCCTGCAGGCTATCTGTACATCTGTACTTGCTATTGTTTGAGAACTGTTATTCTAGAACAAAACTGAGCATAAAAGTTAACACTTGTCTTATTGCTAACAGAGGAGCCATAACCAAGGCTTTGCATGCGAGTGGAAGGTAGGAGCCATTCTTTCACACTAAGAGACTCTTAAACCATTTTATCAGGGACTGGAGAGATGGCTCGATGGTTAAGAGCATTGACTGTTCTTCTAGAGGTCCTGAGTTCAACTCCCAGCAAGCCACATATTGGTCCATAACCATTTATAATGGGATCCGATGCCCTCTTCTGGTATGCAGGTGTACATGCTCATATGCATAAAATATATAAATACATTTTGAAAGAAAAAGAAAACACGAAG